AATAGTTATTCTGTGTCTCATCACATTCTCATTATATTTCTTTGCGTTACATTTAGAGCAAGAATAAATGTTGAGAAACATTTTTTTGAGCCGCAATATTCACATATTCCTTTGGTATTCTTTAACACTCTGAAGCAAAATCACGCGAACGCAAACTGACTTGATTTGTTCAATAATTGAAGTTATAACGCTTCAATGTTCGATTTATTACATTAAGAGATGTGTTGAAATTGTTGAAATATGGAAGAGGCGATTCAACGAATCTTCATCGTATTTATTTCATTGCTCCCTAAAATTTGTAAGATTTTTGTAAGATTTTTTCTTTTATATTCTTTTCGAAAGGCATGATTCCGATAGCAAACAGATTTTCTGTGTCAAATTACTGCAAATCATAATGATTTTGTTGTTTTTGACAATTTATGTAATTGTGTGATAAATTCAAAATTTTTTTATAATCTTTGAAAAATAATTGTTATATAACGACGTAAATTCTATGTCGCCATGTTATACATTGATTTAATACATTTCGCCATCGAGTGCGACATTGCTTTCCACAAATGAATAGATATTTAAAAGTAATTACATATTTGACTGACAATGAGAAATCTTTTCCTTGCTTCTTTCTTCTCACGAAGAAATCACGTCGAATATATTGCGCGCAATACACGATCGTTATCATTTTTGAAAGATTGTAACTTATTTTTAACATCCATTATGTATTTGTTTATTCTGCGGTTATATATTTTTTATGCTTTATGTTTTGTTGCTTCTTGTACATTTTGTAAAGCGACTCGTTAAATAGCGTGAGCTTGGGTCGTTTAAACAATTGCCATGAGCGTGACGAATATCTATTTCCCCGTGTGCCACTATGGATAATATTGTCTCTAATGAAATCGTCCTTCACTTAAACGCTTCTAGCGTTAGCGAACTAACGTGCAAAAACCGACATGCATATAATAATTTTTCAAACCGTTAACAAAGTTACAGCGATGATTTTTATTATCTTACATTTAATAGGAGTTTATTTATTTTTTGTCGATCTATAATAATTAGCGTGATTGATAAATTTCTTATTTTGACTCGAAATGAAAGGAAAATGTTTTTATTTCCTTTCTTTTAATTATCAAGAATTTTAAACTAATAATATGTAAAGAGAGTGAAATAAATAAAATTGCATGAAGCAAGAAAGGAGAAATAAATGCGTTATACATATAACGCGCATGTATATCGCAGATTTACAGCTGAAAGCTTTTTTACAGCTGAAATGACAGCATACGATATCTCTTATTGTTTATTATAAATATCGTTATGAGCAATTTCTTGAGCTTTATCAAACAAGAAATCGCGGCACGAACGCGATCATACACCTGTTGCCACATACTTACATAATATACATATTCTAAAAGTATCGTACAACAACGCAAGAGTATAATAACTGAGCCAACAATGTATGCTTTTTTCCGTACACTATCAAGCAATAAATTGTGCTTCCGTTAAACGTTTTAAACGAAAGCGATGAAAAGAGATCGACGAAAGCTGAAAGAATTATTCGATCTTTCATATTCTTCCAGCATCACCGTGGTCTGAGTACCCGAAAAATGATGTCAGAATTGCCGAGCGCTCATCAAAGGAAGCTTGGACCAGCGCCGATAGCATCCTTCGAAGACCTATCGGACGAAGTGGAAAACGTGAGTCCTACTCCGAGTTCCCTCTGAGTCATTTATCCTGGCTCTCTCTTTCTCTCTTTCTCTCTCTCTCTCTCTCTCTCTTTCTCTCTCTCTTTCCTCCCTCGCACTGTTCGACTCGGATCTTGATGTACGTACGCGATCTCGAGATCGACCTCCTCGATCGTCCCTGCGAGAAGCCGGCCCGCAATCTGAGCCCACCAAACAACCAACCATACAATCGACCAATCAACCAACCCCGTGTGACTGTGCTACGATTCACGACAAACCAGGATACGAATTTGAATGCAGGGGGAATCGACGGCAGCGGTGACGGCGGCGGCGGGGCGAATGCCGGGCATCGTCGAGGTTACTACGCCGGCAACGCCTGGCAGTTCGCTCAAGACGCCCAGTACGCCGCGAATTGATATCAGCAGAGCGAGCAGCTCTTCGCACCATGAGGATAGTAATTCCAGAGATTCGTCGCCCGAGCGCGAGCTTCTCGCAGGTAATCAATTTGCAAATTACTCTATAGAATCACCCTTTCTTCGTCTCGAAACTTTATTTATGCTCTACTAAATATACTGTCAAATTTTACTATCGTTTATTCATTTAAGAGAATTGTGATATCGTAAAAAAATATTCGACAAATATTTTTCTCGACTTTCTCATTAAACATTTAGTGAATATATTTTGAATTTTCGCATCATCTCTCTGGCAATGTATAATACAATTGGCGGCGCCGGAAATTTAAGTGGAATTAAAGTTAATAGTAGGATTATAGGATTTAATAGAGAAATGATAAATATTTGAGAAATGATAGATAATTTGGATGCAAATGTTTTCGGAAAATACGATGACGAACCTCGGAAATAATAATAAACTAGTTGAAAGGCAAGTATAATTAATAATGAGAAATAAATTAATGGCTTGTATATACAACTGAGTTGAAAAGTGATGATTTTAGGATTGTATAAAGGTACGCTAGTCGAAAATATTCCACAGATTATTAATGAACATTTAGAAAGTAATTCTTATATTTAATTCCACCATCTTCCAACTAGATATTGCTTTTGTAGACTAGATACTTGTGAGTTATACATCATATATGTTAATATACGCACATAGACAAACTTATACGATATGAAAATTTGATATGTACATAAATTCTTTTTTTAACAAATGTATAACCGAGAGCGAGAAAATCGAGATAAAACGTGCATCGAAAAAGTGTCAAAACAACGGTTCTCCGGGAGTGAAAAGGGAATTTTGCGTACATAAGTTGATTGTCAATAACTTTTTTATAAAATGGTTCTTCAGGTCAAGGCATTTCTGATCGATTCAATTAGACTGATCTAAGTAAAAGGACAGATCTGCTTATCCATCTCGATTATTTAACAAGTTTTCGCGGGTATACATGCTGCATAAATTAACATGTTAAATCTAAAATAATATCGAATCTTTCCTTTACTCGCGGTTGCTCTCAAATGATATATAAGTTCCTTATGTATTATTATGTATACCATTTCTATTGTTATTATTATTTGTTGAATTCCGAGCAACTGACTTTTATAATTCTCTCGAAGCGTCATTAACTCTTTTCTTAGACATGTATATAATTAAAAAAAAAATAAAAAATAAAACATATTGAGCTTGGAAATAGAGTCCTTTGACAATTCTCTATCGAAATTACTAATCTCATATTAAATACTTTATCTAGTGTAACTTATAAATAGATAAGAATACATAAATCGAACTTATATATAATATCGTGTAATACAGTAGTTAATCTTATTGTTAGATCGAATGTTATATTTTCGATGGTACAATAGTCTTTAACGCGCTTCTGACGCGCTTATTCAACAGTTGTCGTCAATAGCATAGAGTGCATCATTTAAAGTACTCAATTAAATGACAAGCATTAGTAAAAGATTTGTTCCAAATAGTTTGATGACATCTCATATACATCTTGTAAGTAGCATGAGATTTAAACGTGACATACATAGTTTGCTTGATCGAATGTAGGCGATTAAAGAATTAATAATACAAGAAGAGAAATAGCTTTTCGATTTATGTTAATATCGATATTGGATTTAGTCTACGTAGGTGTTTTAAGAGAGATTTAGATGACAGAGAATGCGTCGTCGTCACGGGCGAGAAAAACTTAAAGATGAAAATTTGCAGGTGCGGATCCTCCGCCTGGCTGCAAGCTGACTTTGGGTTATAAGGAAGATGCCCAAGATCTCAGATCCTCCACGGAAGAGTTGGATTTACAAGATCCCGTCCACGAACAGGATCTTAGAAGGGAATCCAAAAGACGAAAACGGAAGGAAATAGATGGATCCCAATCGGATTACAGCGGTAAGCAATTGGACCGCGAACGCAAGGACAGCAATTGCTCGGAGATATGTCTTCTCAACATTAGCGGCAGAACGTCTAGATTGTCTTCAGTTGGTAGCCAAGGCTCTGGCGTCTCGGGGAAGCTCTCGGTTGTGTCAGCAACTTCCTCCAGGTGAGGAATATGTGAGAAATACAATATTAGAGAAGTACGTATTATTTAAGCTGTTAACAAGATTTCGTTTTGTCAAAAAGTTTCAAATTGAATTACCAAATCTTTTCTGAAAACCCTTATCAGGGGACTGTTTTATGATTTATCATCTTCCTTTTCTGGCCTTTCTTGTAAAATTTGACATCGAATTAAGTTTTTTATTGCACTGATCACACATATGTTATAGATTGATTGAAAAATAACATGTTGTTACATATTTAATTATCATTTATTTGAAGATTAACTTCTTGACTATATTTCCTTTGAATATCCTCGAAAATACGACAATGAGATATAGATTACCTTTGTTGAAGAAAAAATTTTAATGTGTTATTTGTTACTTATATCCTGTATATCTATCCTGTTTTTTATATCTTATATAGTAGATTATATTTATATGCTTATGCTTATATGCTTTTGGGCTGAAAATCAAATTTACAATGTACGATTGGCCAACGTGCAAAGTTCTTCCTTTCTGCTTATTGCGTCACATATTCGGTTTGTATATTTCTTTAGATCTCCTAGCCCGCACAAGTGTCTCTTGGAGACATCGTTCTGCGGAAGCAAACCAACGCTGGCTGACAACCTTATAGAACCATCGAAACCGGAGACCGATGATCTTGAAAAGATTCTCTTGAAGCGGGAGGCTGACACTACGAAGGCGCTGATTCCTGAGAGCATCAAAGTGCCGATGGTTGGAGGTAACTTGAAGCCAGATCCGTTAGACAAACCTAGGAGACGCGGTCGCGAGGAACGGAAAGAGATTTTCAAGCGAGAGGTGGAAATCACGAAGAAATTTCTGGAGAAAGCCAACATAGAGGTTGGTTTTGCCATCCGCCAAGTTTTCATTTCATGGATTGTTTGGTTCTCTAGCGAAAAACATCGGAACAGATTTTATGCGAATTTTATTAATTTTATTAGAATATATACATAAACTACACATATTGACACACACACACACACACACACACACACACACACACACACACACACACACACACATATATATATATATATTGAAAAGTATATTGAAAAACAATTTTTTCTCTTTTTTATTATATTATTTAAATTTTCCTAATTTTCTTATTTTTATTGTATTATTTAAGTTATTGTATAAATATCGTAAATATTGAGTTTGATGTTATTAAAATGCATTTCATTTTTCTGAAAGAATAAAATAAAAAAATACTTATTCTTCCACAATATGTGACAAATGAAAAGTTGCAATATATTTTTTATTCTATTATGAAATAGATACCAATCATCAAAAAATCAAGTGAACAACAAGAATCGATATCACAACAACAATCGACAAAGACTCAAGTCCAAGAAGTTCAGAAACCCGCGACACTCGATTTCAATGATAAAAGAAAAAAGACGCAAAACTTTAAAGAAATCGTGCAGACAACGCCTACGACTAGTAGTTTCTCTGGAAGTCCCAAGTTACCAAGACATCAGAAAGTGCGTGATCTCGAAGGCTCGCGAACACCTAGTCCATCATCCGTGTCTAGAAAAAGCAGCTTTGCTTCATTATTCAAGGTATATATACGCAGAAAAATATCATCGCGTTTATTATTTTGATACAAAAAAGTTGAGCATAAGTTTATCGGTTAAAAGTATTTTGAAAACGAAATATAAAAATATTCCCTAGTTTTTATGCAAAGATATAAATGGTTTGTGTAAAAATGCTTAAATGCTATAATCACTTGGCTTTAATATATTTGAGACAAATTTAATCAAATTGTAAGAAAAAATTTAAAAAAAATTAGAATGTTTTAAAATATGTATGTATGTGCTACGTATGCATCATTTATATTCTTTAACATTATGTATTATATATTATTTAATGATTTATCAAAGTGATTTTATGATGTGTGTCTTTTTTATGGAGATCTATGAGTTTTTATGAAGATTTTAGAGCTCACGTTTTAGACAAAAATTCTCGATAGAAAAGTGATAAATCTAAACTAAATTTTACATTAATCTAATGATTAACATTTCCGAGTATTCAAATAAATTATATTTGTATTTAAACAGACTAAAACCGACGGTTGCGTACTGAGTCCGGAATCGCCGTCGCCTAGTACAAAGCCACGACGAAGTTTGACATCGAAACTAAAAGACACTACGGAGAGCCTGAGAAGCCGTTCAAAATCGCGTGAGAGGGTTCCCATTGATAAGGGTTCGACTTTGAAAAAGGATTCGAAGAATAAAGGGATGTTTTCGTCTACGTTGAGTCTGTTCAAGAAACGTGAGAGAAAAAAGAGCTATGATGAAGCAATTGCAGCCTCGTGCGATCTTGATGCTCATAACAAAATTGAACATCCGTCCCTAGAAAGCATCGGCCGTGTGGAATTCACGTTTAATATGGAAAAAGAAAGAAATCGACAGGATGATTCAATCTTTATTAGTTTGCACGCTGACGATAGAAATTATGAAGAGGCTTTGCCGTCAGAGAGTGTCTCGATACCGTTGGAAACGCCAACCAAGTTACTAGATGAGTATGAATCCGAGGAAACACGTACGAGTAGCATAATCACGGAGGTATCGATTGAACATCATCCGGTGCCGTCAACTACTAAAGTCAAAACCGAGACGCAGATCGAGACAAAGACGACGACGATGCAAGCGGCGAAAATGCAAGCTACGTCCAGGAATTTGTCCAAGGATAACCAGCTTCCGCAGAGTGTGTCGAAAGACTCGCAGATATCGAAAAAAGATTCAAAAATTAGCGCTCAGACTAATAAAATAATCGAAGCTTCGCCATTAGTAAAATCATCGATTAAGTCAGAGATAAAATCGGAAATTAAATCGGTGGATTCGCGAATACTTTCCAGTGGCTCGTCGAAAGAATCTACTGGCAAAAAGCCGGATGTAATGAAGCCGAAGAGAAAAAGTAGAGGAGAGAGTCAGCAGCAGCTTACACCACCTGAGAGAATAGATAACGATTCATCGCCACAACAGAAAAAAGTAAGTTCTAGGGAATCTACCGCGTTAGATATCAAGAAATCCGATCTCTTTGACGATAAAGTTAGCAGCAAGGATGGTTTAGTAAAGACGGCCAGCATGATATCCGATTTGGATCACAATAGTTCAGAGTCCGAAAGAGATTCGGAGATTGAATTCATCCGCAACAAGGTCGAAAAGATGGCGGAAGAGCTACCAGACGAGCGGAAGGGTCTCTTTTATGAGGAAAGTTTTGAAGAAGATCTTCCATATATACCGACAACCCTACCGTTGGAGAAGAGCGTTGCCGTACCTATCCTGCCTGTTAAACAACGACTTCAAGAAGTAAGGTAATTATTTTAGACGAAAAATTTCAAACTTCTGTATATATGAACACATCCTCTCTCTTTCTGTCCCAATTGTTTATCAATTTATTACGCACCCATGTGCACACATAATTCATCAAATTGATTCTTATGTTAGAACAATTCCGATCGAAAGACCACGTTCGACAACACCGATAAACCCGACTCTACTCGACGAGTTTGTGATGCAGACGTCGTTGGACGAGCGGCGTGTGGAGCGGATGAAGATATCTCTGCCACGAGAGGACAGCTTTAAGTTGAAAAGTCCGCGCCGGCAGTATGCCAGTGCGACGAATACATTTACGGAATTTGCGGGCAGAGTACCACCGGATAGCGGTCGTAAGAATATTATCAGTCAAGGAAAATCACCCAGTCCACCTCCACTGCCACCGAGAGCACCAGCATCAGCATCAGCATCAGCATCAGCATCAGCATCAGCATCAGCATCAGTATCAGCATCAGCATCAGCATCAGCATCAGCATCAGTATCAGCATCAGCATCAGCATCAGCATCAGCATCAACATCAGCATCAGCATCAACATCAGCAACAACAGCAGCAGTAGCGATAACAGCAGTAACAACACGGCCAAGCAACTGGATAAATTTTGAAGAGATACCAGAGAAACGGAAGGCGCCGAAGCGAATACAGACGATACCGCGACCAGAAGACGAAATCGCAAAGACGATTGCTGGCGGTTATAGTTATGTGCAACCGGAAGAGTGCAAATGTGAGTGTCACGAGGAATCCAGACGGGCGTCTATACGAGAAGCGGCAGCGGCAGCGACTACCACCACTGCTACTAGTATTAGTACTAGAACTTCCTCTTGTAGCAGTAACGGTGAACGACCTTGTAATGGCGAAAATTGCACGGCACCGACCACTGGTGGCAATTCCGTTGATCGCGCCAGTATTGTCAGGTAAACCGATTGGCTACCGATTGTCAAAGTTACTAACTATATATCTTGTCCGAGGCGCAAAGGCGCTAGTGACGAGTAGAAATCTGTTTCTGTACTTTCAGTGATAGTTCGCTGGAGTGTTCGCTGAGCATTGATGATGGCCAAAGTACACAGGCGCTTCTCGGCAATTCGACGAAACCTTTCGCCATGGATCTCGACGTACGGTCCAATAGATCGAGCATCATATCGCAGGAAGAGAATGACGAGAACCAGCACCAATAATAAAAATAAAAATAATAATAATAATAATAATAATAATAATAATAATAAAAATAATAATAATAATAACAATACTTATGTTAGCAGAGCGCACCCACGCCTTAGAGTCTTCGGATTTTCTTTTCTTCGGAAAATCCGAGTTCCTGCCTCTGACATGGATCAAACAATAGTTTGATTCTGAAAAAACATATTTATGATATTGTTACCATTTACATGGTTCTTTTTACGAAAAAGGTTTCGAGAAGAATTCACAATTGAATGTAATTGGAATCGTTTTTATGCTTGTTTGCAGACTTTTAGCTTCTTATTAGTGCGCGATGCGCATACATCGGTATAACTTTCGATAATCAAAGGCATTTCTCTTATTTTTCAAATCATTTGAATTTCGACATGTTCTTGGATGATAATGTTACGTGGATGTTACGCATCAGTTACATCATCTGCTGTATAACTCACGATTCTTTTCTTTCTATTTCTTTTTCTGTCGATATTAATTGTCGATATTAATTGCTCATTTTAGTTGTTTCATAATACTACAAAACAAAATTACTTTTTCATATTGTCCAAAAATTATATTTAAAAAAGAAAATGAAGAGATTACATATTTCATAATATTTTTTGGTATAAATTTAAAGTTTTTGTAGAAAAATATCAAGCGATTGGATGAGTCAATTTTCATTCCAATTTATATCACATATGTTGATTTCTCTTTATGATTCTGGAAGACGCGGATGATGGCTCGTTAACTAATTCTAATTTTATCTAGTGAAACGGTATCGCTCCCCTATTGAAAATTGTCGGTGAAACATTCACACATTGCTCGGATGTATGAGATCTCGCCTCTTCTTGGCAAAAATTTTATATGTATATATAATAGTGGAATATAAACACATTTTATTTTGTCAACCATTGTATACACTAACGATGAAGCGAGATCTCGCAGTGTTTAAGCAAGCTTTAAAGCTTCATATCATGTTAGATAAGCGTAGATTTATAGGTATGTATTGTATATTTTCGTGGGCACGTTGATCTCGTATTGAGATTAAAAAGTTTATTCAATGTTGAACCGGAAAAACCGGTACGATCATTTATTGATCGATTGTTTCTTAAACTTGTACAATAGTATTTATATACATAATATAAACGATTATACGATGGCCCTGACATAACGCAGGATTTGCAAATGTAGTTCTATTATCGTTATTATACATTATACGCTTTTCTTGGACCAGAATGCAAATACACGCATAATTATTCAAATATTCATTGAAATACCACTGAATACGATACGCATTCATAGAACTCTTCAGCTATTACACTATCGTGTTAGAAAAGCTTCTAATGCGTCGGCAACTTTTTCTACTCACTACGATTTTCTCTTCTCTTTCTCACTTTCGGAGCTAACTTGGCGAGCCATCATTCGTGTAAGTTCGTAATTTATTTTTAAAGAGAGTGATAATTTATCATTCATTGCTCGCTAAGAATTCCAGGGAGTCGAGATGAGTAACACTCGTTAATCGTACGCGTTTTACAAATTGAATTCGTACGATAAAGAAAAAAATTCTATATTATCTACCTCCTAAAAAACGTATTGAAGGCAAATGAGTATCTGTAAAAAGATTGTTTCATCAGAAAGCAACTTGTAATGCTCGACAGTTTGATCTCTTTTTTCGCGCTAAAAGTTTAAAAGTTATTTATATTTTTTTCCAGAAAAATATATAATACATATAGAAGGAAATATACATATAGTACCTATAAAATGTTATAAAAATAATGCAGAGTCGAGCAGGATAATTGTGATACTGAGGTAAATGCAGTTTCATTTCTCTATATGATGAACATAAAATTCATTATAAAATGGAAATTGAGAAAGCGATCACTTTTTAATAGCTAATATCATAAAATACTATCACGAAGTGATGATTAAAAATTACATCGTTAGCAAGTATATTTATATTTCAAGTATATTTATATTTCTTATGTCAAAATTATTATTGCGATAGAGAGAGAGAGGGGGGGAGGGAGGGAGAAGAAGAAAATGTACATTGGATTTTCGGATTCTGTATTTTGCGTTTTCATAATCTTTATTTTACATTCTTTTAGCAAATTTAGAAGCAAAACTTGATATGTCATAGAGGCGCCATATATTGATCTAAATCATCAAATTTCGCTTCTTATTTACGACATCAAGATTAGGATTGTCTTATTAATATATCTTGAATTATATGAATATAAAGATACAGTTTGCTTCAGTCTCCAATAAAGCTGAAGACAGATTATACGTGTATTATATGTGACATGCGATTTGTATGAAATATGTGAAAAGGAAAAATTTATCGAATTTTATCGATTCATTAGTGTTTATTCACTAGTTTAACTCGAATTTTTCAACGAAATCACAGTGTGTTTGTGGTTGATGTATAATGTTACAATATACGTCAAAATTTGTGCTTGTTTGTTATGTATACTTTTTGGACTTGAAAGTAAAGAAGTGGAAAATAATAAACGCAAAAATATTTGCCAAAGTTTCACGAATTACGAATAGCAAAAAATAAATTACAATAGTGTAAACAGTCTAGAAGTTCTACATTGGCGACATACAGCAAATTTCTAGGAGTTATATATATTACGAAATACGCACGCACACGCAACACACACACACACACACACACACACACACACACACACACACACACACACACACAGTTTGACGCCAGCTTTTTGTGTCGGAATAATAATCTTTTTTTTGGGGGGCAAAGTTGGTTATACAATGCTCGTGCATTTTCAAAATGATACATATACTCTTTTGGATTTATGAAAAATTCGAGGACAGCAAAATAATTCAATACAAAATATAATTTGATCTATTTTCTCAAAAGTTTTTGAAGCAAATTAATCTAAGTGTAAAATATATTTAATGTTCTAAAGTTTTTCATCTTTGTGTTATAGATCAATGGAAAAATAAATTTTCATTCCTAGTTTTGTTCACTAACGGATAAAAACCATTACTAAACTGCATTGTTATAACATTTCTCTTATATTTCACGCTCAATTATTGCAATTAATCAGTTTACAATCAATTTTCGGTTATATTGCAGGTATTCTTATATAATAAACAAAAGAATATATTAAATGAAATATTTGTTTATCCTATGAAAGGGGAAGCAGGAGAAAGAAGGAGAGAATTACTTTTTAAATATTATTTAAAAATTCGAAAAAAATAATTCGAATAAAAATAAAAATGATTCATTTCCTTCATCCGAAAACAAATGTGCGTGATCGGATAAACTAAAGTAGTCTAAATTAATTATTGAATTAATTAACATTATCGATTGCCAAAAGCAAATTAATTGACATTACCGATGGTTTGATATAATATTTGATATTACATCGTCAACTTATTTATTGCTTATTTATTTATAATTGAAATATACGATAATTAGATTATACTGGCGTCGAAAGTTTCATTATACATATGTTGCATTATAGCGAGTGTGTAATGAATTTAGAAAGAGTTAAACTAAATTTATGTTTGCATTTATTAGCAAAATCATAGTTTCTTTATTTCGCGCGATTGGATTATTTCTCTTTTACAATCTATTTTGTATATATAATAACTATAATAACAACAAAAATAGATTTTCTCGCAGTGTCATTCTTCTTGCTATGTTTTCTTACACAATATAACTATGTTCAAAGTGATAATATCAATCTTGTAGCGACAGAAATATTTTGTTAATTGTCTGTTGCGCGAAGCCATTTCAACGAAGATTGATGATATTGCATTTAATAATTAACATTCGTACGACAAAGACAAAATGAAAAAAAGTTATTTTAATTTAGAACAATATAATCTTTTTTTTCATCAAAATTTCTAAGAAAATTCTCCATTTTTTCGCATTAATATCTCGAAAGAATAAAATATGTTTCAATTAACTTTTCTCTTACAAAATTTTTTTATTTTTCTATAATTATTTGCTTGATACGTTAGAGAAATTGTCTTGTTAATTATGTAGAGATATCGTTAATTATATAGGTTCTTATTGTGGAATTTAATTGTACATTTTTATGTGCGTTTTTATTCTTCTTTCATACTTATCCCATACTTTTTCCGTGTTCCTATTCTTTTTCACATTGGTCTGAATACGAAGTAATTAAATTGTGGAATGGATCAATTGATAATATATTTGCAAGTCATTAACTGCAAATTCATTATCAATTAATCTGTTCCACTATTTTTTGTGAATTCTATTCTTTTGAATTAATCAGATGTGCCTGTTTCTATTTTTTTTTATCCTTTCTTTTCGGCGAAGGAAAAGGGACAGACAATTCATGTAATCTGCGATCTTGCGAAAATGATAATGTGAATATAAGCGCAACCTATAGTTATAAATATCGCGTAAAATAATTTTCTTTTTTTAGATTTTGATGTTTAGCTTTAAAGGAATTTTTAAAAAGTATATACATGTGTATATCATATATATATATATATATATATATATATATATATATATATATGTGTATATACACATATACACAAATATATTCGCACATACACACATCCATACATATATATATATATATATATATTACACACACACACACACACACACACACACACACACACACACACACACACACACACACACACAATAAATATGAATTGAAACTTGCATAATGTTTACAATTTTCGACACTAGAGATATTCAATTACTCCGATTGAAATTTATTAACAAGACGTATGCTTTTAGTATAAGTAACACTTATTTCATATAGAAGATATCATAATTTGAATTTCATCGACATTATACCGATTTCGATCCTTCTATAAAACAAAGCGTTTTGCGCAGCAGATCGGTTGTACTTCCGATTGGCAAAAAACGAATGTAAGATACTCGTGTGAAAACGTTATATTTTGCAAGTGATAAACTCATTTTGATGAGCACTAATGAGCAATTTCTTCTTTTCCTTCTGCAATTTGTATTATAAATATATATAATTTGTATTATATATATATTATTTGATAAGTTTATATCATGCCATTGTGCAAATATTATGTAATGTAAACACCACTATTTCTTTTTTACACCATAATTAGATATAAAAAATGAAACTGGAATCAAATTATTTCTAAAGAAATGGAAAGAATTCTCAAGAATCACATTGCGAGAAAGATTCAAAACTAATTCCTAATTTTAAATATAAATTCAGCATCTTTTTCTTCAGAATTTTTTCAAAGCTTTTTATTTTGAAAATAATCTATTTTTTTTTAGAAAATGATTTTATATACTTTTTCTTTTTTCCATACTTTTTCTTTTTTATTTATTTTCTATTTATTCTATTTATTTTATTAATTTTATTTTACTCTATTGTTTACAATTTATTAATTTTATTTGTACTATTCAATATCTCTTCTACTGATTCTCTTAAGGAAAAATGCTTATATGTGAAATCTTTGATAATTTACGAAAAAATTTACGAAATTTTCCATCTGTGTTCGTTACGCCGATTAGAATGCATAGAAATATATTTGGCTGTGTATGAAGCACTGTTCACTTTTGTTTCGACGACGTTAAACGAAACTAGGTCTTTTTTCATTTAGGAGATAAGAATTGGTTATTTGCAAGATATTCATCGAAATGTATTCTTTTGCCGACAATTTATCAAGAAAGAAAGAAAAATCGAGAAAAACAGATCCTCATACATATTTCGCTCGCTTATTTTTTTCAAAGGCGGCGTAATTCGCAACCATATTTTCCGAATAATACCGATAATCGAGAATTAGAGATCCATGATCACTTTCCAACAATTCGAAGACCTATTAATGAAATTATTAATGAAATGAATCCGTAATTTTTTCTAATCCTTTTTAACAGAGAGCGAAAGATTGGAGTAACGGCGGGCAACCTGTTTACTTTTTTCCATTTGCAATAATCAAGTATAAATAATGTTGCTAGAGGAAATGTAACCAAACGTATCCTTTACCAAAAATAAAAGCTTGCCGAAAAAGATAACTGCTCTCAGACTCGTTTTGAATCTTTTGATCTATCACAAATAATATACTTTGAGACACAACATTTCAAAACTAAAAAAAGTTAAGAATAAAGTTTTGTATAGATTGCCCGTCGCAACTCCAGAACACGAATTTGATCAAACACACGCTCGAGAAGAAATTAGACGCTCGTAGAGAGAAGCCAAAAAGCTCCTCGAGATGCGTCGATAGGCGAAAGAGCACGTGCCCATCGCCCATTTCCTTAGCAATATATGTGATCGTTTGTGTGGTTATTTTTCATGCAATGTAAGACTATAACAAAATATAGAATAAAATAAATATTTAAATGTTTCTAATGTTATGTAAACTAGGAACAAGAATACTTTTTCGAATATTAATAAATGAATACATTTAAACGACTACGACGACGATGACAACAACGATGACGATAACGACGATGACAATGATGATACATTCGATACAATCTTATTGTTAAAAAAAATAAATAAAATGAAATAAACTGTTCATGTGTTTTGATTATTGGCTTGATTATTTCGAAATTATTATGTCGACTCGCTTATGGTTCGAGTTTTTATTCGTAGTAACATCAACCATCAATTACTTATTAGATAATAATTTTATATTTTTATTGTGTTTATGTTTATAATGAATATGCATATCGTGTTTATGTGTGTGTGTGTGTGTGTGTGTGTGTGTGTGTGTGTGTGTGTGTGTGTGTGTGTGTGTATACATACACACCGTACATATATAAACTTAATACTCAAAATTAAATAGAAATTAGAAATAAAAATTCTTGAATAGAAAAATGTGATATTTGAAAAAAGAGCTATTTAGAAAATATAAAACTGTCAAATGATCAATCCTCGCATATTATGCATAATCTTTTATTGTTGTTCTTGAATCATATGTATTCGTTGCATCTACGAAATCATCCTTTATCTTAATATTTTTCTCATTCCCATTGTCCAAGACAATTGGCATTTCGGTGTCTCGTAATAACAGTGTTGTGGCTGTCGGAGCGAGTGTCGAATTATTATCCTGCAAAGATTGCTGTAAAAAAAGCAAAAGATGCAATTAATTATTACAAAACATAATGATATGTTCTCAATAACAATAAGAGAATAACAGAAATTAATCTACAAAGAAAAGCTTATTAAGTATATATATGCATGTATATATGTATGAGATATTTGAAATCCGCTTTATTAATCTTTTATTTCATTTTGTTTCACACATAATATTTGTAGCGCAATTAACGATTTCGTAAAAGAAATGAGATATCCACTTGCAAATCGGAAAATTTGATAATAAATAATAAAAACATTTCTTTCTTTTTATTAACAAATCTTAATGAGTATATAACAAATATATCTTTTCAGAATTGACATTATGAGATTTTTACACGTTAAATATAAATTGTATCTTACAATTTGTCTCTTAATTAATGTTGGAATATTTAACATTGGAATATTTAAATAGCAAAATTATGATAACAAGCATTTCATCAAATAAGCTTTAAAAATATATGGTATAGTGTACGATGAAATGTATATTTTCTTACCTGCATGACGTTTAAAAGAAATAGGAAGGCGAGCAAGGTCAGTGCACTCAGCGCAGCGCTACTTCCACCTTTTCCTTTAGAGTTTCTAACATTCAAAAAAGTAATTTATAAAAAAGCTTTTTTTGATATTAATGCGCTTTAAATAGAAAATGTTTACCCGCGATATCCATGGTGGTAGCCACCTTCGTCATTATGATAACGTTCAATAGATGCATCCCAAGGAGCTTTTCCATTTCCATTGATTAGAGATTTGAACGTCATCTGTTTAATAAGCAATATGTATAAACAATGATCGTATTTTACATTAACGATAGATAAATTAATAAAAATATTGTAAGGTGTGTGTGTGTGTGTGTGTGTGTGTGTGTGTGTGTGCATATATTATAAATTTGAAAATATATAACTATTGTATATATTTAAGAATATAAAGAAAAAATTATATATTCGGAGAATAGCATGTGCGCGAATTGATATTATTAAATTGCGCTGTTTGCTTTACTTGCCTTTGATGCAAAAAAAATTATACAAGAACAGAGTTACACAACATAAAGCTGAGAGCTTCACCTTCGACTAAACTTCATATGGAACTGTTTTGTCATAAGAAGAAATCTCCTCATCTGTGGTCACGGTTTCTGGATTCTTCACGGTCGTTGACAGCAACCTGAAAGTTTGTTTTAATATCACGTTTTCAACGTGTCTGTGTGTGTGTGTCTGCACGCGCAGAGATTTACCCGTTGTTACCGCATCAATATTAATTATTTAATAGATTTTTTATGAATTTGAAATCAAATTCTTTACAATGTTATGCTGAATAATCCAAGAGAGTAATGTTGAAACACAACATACATACATAGTCTAACAGTTTATATTTATTATTATGTATTATAGATTAAGAGTTACGATTATTAGGCAAATTATTTGGTAGGAAAATGATAGATAGATATTATATGCGATAAACATTTAGATATCTTTAAATAAGTAAGGCTATTTATAGGCCATTTATAGGTGTATTTATTAAAATAATTGAACTGCACATATACATACACAACTTATACCTATGCCATTGTACATCTAATCAGCCATGTTGATAGTACAAAAAAAAGAAATAGCGCGAAGCCAACTTCACACTCGCATGCATAAATAAAATAAATAAATAAATATACATATATATATATATATATATATATATATATATATATATACATATAAAACCTATATACAGTAGCTAATAGATTTAGAGTGGATACTAAAGGAAAGAAAATATATAACATCCTGAGACGTTAACATGTACGTTAGGGAAGGCCATTCAGTAACGAGACATTCAATCACTATCATTGTAAAATATTTAGTTGGCAAAGCTTATGTTTCGAAAATCCCAAACTAGATATACATATTTCTTTTTATTTTAGCATAAATTAGCAATATCGCCAGTAATTTCTTTCCATTTTTGTTTTTTCATTTTTGATTTTAATACATGAGATTATAGATTAGAGTAAATTTTATTTTTTATATTTTTAAATCAAAAAGGCAATATATTTAAAAACTGAAATTGATTATTTTTTTATCAATTGCCAAATTAACTAGAAAAATAAAATAGTACTTAAATTTATTGCTGATTCAAATAATATTGCGCAAAGTTAATCTCTTTTTCTAGCAAACGATAGCAATATTTGAACGAAGCTCATCAAACACATCAAATTTACCGATCCTCTTTCTCCAACAGTTCTAAGCGCATCTTCTTCCCTCTTTCTCTCTCTTTGTTTCGTAAAATTTTATTTAATTGATATAATATTTTATATATAAATACCGTACATAAAACGTTAAATATATACGGTATGTAAACAATTGAGGCGTGTCGGTGGAAGTATAATTTTCGTGAATTAAACTTTCGAGGCTATAGAAATATAGAAATGACAACACTGGCATAAAATTCTTTTTTCCGTACTTATAACATCGAAAATTGAATTCGCGATAGAATTGTATTACTTACGACAACTATTCGATCAACATTTTTTATCAACTATATCATATTTTAAAGAAAAATGCATCACATCTCAAATGTCGAATAAATCTTGTATACTATCAATTTGAAAGATACCGACAATCCGCTGTTTGTTGTACATTATAATCATTCTATTATCAAAATAACGGAAATTGCATGAAATCTCTCAAACAAAGACACTATACAATCTAGTAATACATATAATACGTTTAATAAATAGAAATAAACATATAATTATTTAATTGGCGCATGGCAAAACTTGATTATCGATACAAAAGAGGACTTGAAAACATGATAGACAGGCGATCCCCAAAAAATTCTATTTTAGATAGAAAAAATTTTATTGAAAGATTTTATTAGTTAGAGTAGATTATCAAAAGTTTGATCTCATCTTTTGCAAGAGAAGATCAAATGCTTGATTCACGATATTAAAGTCACAGACTCGTCGAAATTACGAAATTGTACCATTTAGCGCGTACACGCGTCGAATTCGCTGCTCGAAAAAAATGATCAGTCGTGAGCTGTCGAGCTGGTAAGATTCCATGCGAATCTCTGTTCGATGTGCTTCTTAAGTATTTGCGCGCGCGCGGTCACATCGCGCGATTAAACTTCTATTCTAATTTGGTGCAAACCGAAATCTTATTGAAATGCGTCGGTTAGGTTCGAGTACCTAATATATAAACAATTTTTGAATGTCCGAAAACTCTAAAAAACTTTCTAAAGAAAAAGTTTCAACTTTTAAAACATCTCTAAATAACTTTAAGACTTTTGATGTTGTTTGGTTGCCTGTTATGTAAATCAATAGAGTGACATTTCTATCATCGAGGAGAAATGTATGATTGTAATGTACGATCGGGAAGGCTTCCGATTAAAAATTCGATCGAGAAAGAGATTTCAAAATCCCGCAGAATCTAAATCACGCTTGATGAAACGCTGCAATATGAACACGCTCATACGGCATTGCAATCCATGAAGAGAGTTCTGCAATCTTCGCCTGTGCGACCGCGTCGTCCTGCCTCATAAAGAGCCTCGAAACCAATGCCGCTCTGTTTCTGCAGGAGATAGCTTGTCGCATATCTGTGGAAATTATGCCCAATTTGTAACTACTAACCGGATACGGATCAAAAGCTTGTTATGATTTCGATAAAAGCTCAAACTTTATGGTAGACACGTAAAAAAATAAACTTGTCTATTTGTAAAAAAAGGAAATTAATTATGCACATACATTGTGTATATGTACAATTAATTTATTCGATATTTAACAAAAATATAAATTAAATACTTACGATCCAAGTTGGCAGAAGATTGAAGATGGACCTTGCGTGTCAGCGATACACTCTGCGCTGGCCTCGCAAAGAGCTCTTTCGGCGCATCCGCGTTGACCTTCCTCCTCGGCACGTCCTACGTAGCTAAAGGACTTGACAGATCTCATGTAGCCCTAATTAATCAAATGAATTATACATATGAGAAATGTATATTTTCCTTTAAATAAGTAAATTTAATAGTAGTAATCACGTATGTGTGTGTATTGATGACTCAATACGACGATTTCCCAAATATTATTAAAAAAAATGTAAATTTTAATAAGCATTTATTGGTAAATATTTTTATTACATATTTTTACCTTTAGCATAGAAATTGACGCTATCGCAGCTTCAGAGATGGTGTCGCGTCTCCCGAGTGAACGAGCTGTTAGGGAACGATGAGAGAACGATGTCTTCAGAGCGTCCAGCAGATTGATAACTATGCTGATGAACTGCTTAATAATACGGATAAGCAAAAATGTAAGTAAATTTATTTACGGCGACTTATATTTTGGAGAATAAGAATATGGTTTAAGTAGAATTTGGTTTAAGTGTAGATATACATATAAATAAAATTAATCTGTACACATTATAAAAAAAAAAAATATATATATATATATATTTATATATATACATATCACATATATATATATATATATATATATATATTTATATATATACATATATACATATATATATACACACACATATATGTATATATATATATATATATAAACATATTACATAATATAAATACAATTATTATTACACGTTACACTTACAATTAGAATTATATTAATGAAATTGAAAGGTAGTTAAGTTTTAACAAAGTCATAACGGTCATAGTTTGTTAATCCATATAAAAACATTTGAAACTTTCTCACGTGCAAAATTGCTTAAAACTTATTTTTTATATATACATATAATTTCTTTTTATATATATTAAACACATACACATATTAAGCATTAAATTTAATACAACACATATATGTACATATATACACGCATATAAAAGTTATATGTTTTTTATTATTAAAAAAACGTTTAACGCGATGGGGATTAATATATCAAGCAATTTTAGAAAAAGTAATGATTTAACAATGCATAGAAATTGATTAGTAAATGCTACAACAAGAATGTTGGGGACAATTTATAGCAAAATTAATTCCATTTCTTTAAATCAACATTTTTCTCTCAATCAAACAAACACGCAGAAAGCACTTACATCAATAGTTTTCATCAAAGCAAAATGAAGAGTTTCAAATTATTTCAACTTGTCACATTGAATCTTCTCATTCATAAATTCGTACTAACCTCGGAAGCATTTTTCGCCATTACTGCAATTTGTTCGGGGTCTCTGCCCTGTCCTAGAAACGCGCCCAGCACCGCAGCCAAAATTGCCTAAACAACCGACACCAGCCATGTGCGCTAAGATCGACAATTATTTACAAGAAAAGTGAGAAAAAAGGAAAAGAGGGAGAGAGAGAGAGAGAGAGAGAGAGAGAGAGAGAGAGAGAGAGAGAGAGAGAGAGAGAGAGACAGACAGACAGACAGACAGACAGACAGACAGACAGAGGCTCGTTGATATGTTCGCATTTGAATATTTATTCTAAATAATATTCTTGAAAAATGGCTTGAAAATGGATAGAAGAAGAGCGCATAAGTAGAAACACTATCTTGAAAAAATAAAATGTATCTATAAGTTGTAGTTTATTATATAGAATATTTGATGATAATTGTAATATCATCAACATAATTTTATTAAATCAATTACAACTAGTTATCAAATTAATTATCTCTCAACATGTAATAAATAAAGTATGTATAAAATAATTATAATTCTACTAATTGTGCTGATAAAACTTTAATTTCCTTTGTATGCGAAGTAAATTAAAATATAAATCTTTTTAAATTTTGCTTTTTCTAAGAACAAAGTTTACGCTTTTGCTCTTTAACCATTAACTCTGATTATTTTTATAAATGTGATTGTCAAGAGCAAAATTTGCTCATCAAAGCCAGGTGAAAGACTGGCAAATTCCCAACTGTGAGACGAATTAAAATGTGTAGAAAACGTAAAAATAATGTGATACAAATGCGTGAAAATAATAGTCCGTTATAATTATTTAGCACATCCTGTTTCTCCTCTCTAATTATTGTACAATATGTATAATTCGTGACTGTAAGCAGCTGTGCGTATTTCTCAAATTTCTATTTATAAAGCCAAAATTAACTTATTTTGTAAGTCTAAACAATAACGTGAATACAGTATTATTTCCTTTTTCCCCAATAATAGTCAATATTAGTATACTAAAAAATAAATGATATTTATACAATAACAGTTCGAATATTTAAGAAATTTTGTTTATAAATATAATGGTTTTATTTCATATAATTATATATACATAGATAAGCTGCTTATTTCGTTTCCACATGAATCCACTTTGGCATTTATATTTTTGCACCGCAGAGAAAAAAGAACAGTTGTTTTTCATGACAAAAGTATTCAATGCTTTAAATAATTTATATTTAGTAATTTAAATCTCATATATTGCAAATTCTCTTTTGCGTTTAACAGTTATGAGTTAAGATAAATCATTATTTACCTAGTAATTAAAGAATATATAATTGATTTTCAATGTTTAGCTGAGACATGATAATATTGATTGATCCGCATTACTGATGTGTGTGTGTATGTGTGTGTGTGTGTGTCTGTATGTGTGTTGAACCTCGCGAAAAAATATTTGAAAATTAAAATGCTCAAACATAGCACATCAGTTATTTTTACTTACCTGCATAGGACTACTACTTTGATTGTCCACTTTATCGATACCATCTACCGGCTGCTGAGGTCCACCCAACAGTGCCGTGAGAACTCTAAAACCTACAGAGAGCAAGTTGGTCCACGGACTCGTAGTCGCACCATCATCTATCTCGTTTTTACTGGGTCCAGTCGTAGCACCGGTCTGACCTAATAACATCTGCATCAACATACCCAGCATATTGGACCACGAGAAACCGCTACTACTACCTTCCTATACATGGAAACCAAAGAAATATGGTATCAGTATTAGAAAGAAAAATAAATTAGTATAAAGTCTATTAGATCCAATTGCATCAATGTTACTTTGGCTTTAAGCAATATTTGAATATGCGTTTATTTTTATTTATTTATTATTTAAAAAGTATTTAAAATATAATATTATTGATACAACTTGGCATTAGAAACATAAAGATGGGACGTAAAAATAGTTTATTCTCTTAATCATTAATATAATTAGTACGTCTATAAAAATTATATTAATTGAATTAAATACATTTTTAATACATAAATATAAGTTTATATAAACTACTAACTTGAATTTGATTAGTGTTAATGTCTTCGAGATCATCGATCGCCACTTTTTTCATCGCGTTTGGTTTCTCAGCGAATTTTCTATCCTCTCTGATTTGCTGCTGCTGGTATTCTTGCGGATATTGCTGAGTGTACTGAGGATGCTGTGGCAGAGCTGTAGCTTGTCCCAGAACAAGCGCAACCAAACATAAAGATGCGTATTCGTTGTACCACATTCTATGACAAAAAGAAACTTTTGTTGCATTTCAATGTACATAATCTGAAAAAAGGATATACTATGTTTATAAAATAATCTACTTTTTCCAGAAGCATTTTTTTTGTACACAATGTAACATACACAAAATTCGTAAAAAAGTTTAAATTAATAAAATACATTTCAAATGATAAGTTTCCTGTGAAAAAATTAAATATATAGGCATCATTTATCGTGTTTATTCAAAAGCGTGTGTTAAAGCGATTATAAGTTTGACTTTAAGACGAGAAGGAAAGGAGAGAAGGATACACGATAATTCAGAAATGAAAGTATGCCATAGCAGCTGATAAAAACGATGAGATAAATAAAGTCGAATTTACAATAAATAATATATTCAATTCAAGTTTATCTTTTTACAAGTCAAAAGAAAGAAAAGCAGTCGAAAAAACATATCTAAGTTTTATTATCCGGAATTATATTCTTACTTCGTAATTATTTCTTCAGAAAAATGCTATAAGCAATTCGGTGGCAATTCGCATAGCGGTTATTAATTCCTATGAAAACAATGTAATATTTTCGGACGTTATTGAAATGCAAAAAATTCGTAAAACATATTTTTTTAGAGAAAAATGAAATGTAAGATTTGTTGAGAAATTATATTATTTTTAAGAATAATGAGAAGAATTAATTTATGTTGATAAAAATATTTAATTTTTAAAAAGTTATCTTAAAATCTCCAAATCATCTTTAAATGTCTTAAAATAAACGCATGTAATATGACGTCCTTCGAAACAATTTAATCCTTGTACTATTAAGGTATACTATCTTTATAGTATCTTTGTATGTACTAATTTCTTTTACTCGCTATACTTTCAGATTGATTTATAAATCAATTTATAAATTTTAATGTATCATCTTGTGTTTGTATACATTATATTTTGCATTATTCATACTTATGTTTACAAATCGATATATCAAATTGTAAAATTTAAATCTATCTTACAAATTTTGCGCGCGCGCGATTTCTCTCCTTTTCTTCCTTTTATAAAATACATTGTGTAAGGCTCAACACCAATCGTAACCTTCATCTTGATTGAGCGAAATGTTGGACAGAAGTGAATGAAGTCGGTATATCTTGCGGATATAAACTGAGAACACGGTGCACACGAAAGTGTGTCACCATGGTTAAGGTCGCTTCGACCGCAAGCATGCCACCCGACCGCTCGTTAGCCCACTTACTGACGATGCTGGTTTGTTGAACCCGATAGATACCGTTATTTCAAAAGGAGGTCATGACCTACTGTCGATTGCTAGCGGGTGATCAGTTCTTGTGTCCGTGAAAAAATAAAGGAAGGAAAGCAATTCAGTTAAAGAAGTCCCTGCATACACTGCATGATGCCGATTGACGAGATTGATAAGAATTGATAAAGTTGACAAATAATATTTGCGGCCCTACAAATATTTATTAAAAGTTTTGCGTAACTTTTTCACTTTTTAAAACAATAAGAAAAAAATAGTTTCTATATTACATATAAACACTCTATTACATATAATAATAAACACTCTATTACATATAATAATATTATATATAAAATATATACATATATAGGTATCAAATTACATATTATATTATCATGATAATATTATATTATAGAAAAACGATTATGTCAAAGTTTTAGGCTCTAATTTCGAGTAAACCATTAAAAAGTGTTACAGAATAGAACATTTACAAATTGTGTTCATCAATTTTTATCACTCAACTTTTATATCAATATCATTTAAGATAATAGGTCGTATAATAATTTATAAAAAATATTCTCATTTTATAATTTTTTGAATAAAATTGGAAATTTAAACACATAGAATAACACAAAAAAGTAAATTAAACAATGTTACAATACTAATTAAAATGACTAAAATAAAAAAATTAAAATGAAGCGACGATTTTAAGAGCAACAATAATGTGTATGTGTGTATGTGTGTGTGTGTATAGAGAGATAGAGGAAAAGAGAGGGAGGGGGGAGGGGGAGGAGAGAGAGAGAGAGAGAGAGAGAGAGAGAGAGAGAGAGAGAGAGAGAGAGAGAGAGAGAGAGAGAGAGAGAGAGAGAGAGAGAGAGAGAGACTCTCACGATGGCAAACGATGCACGGTATGCCTTTGGAAAACGGTATATGCTATGGTAGAAAAATCACAAACGAGTTTCTAACTGTATTCTGACGATAGCATTTTTTATCTGCGATAGACTTAATGTGCAAAACAACTCGCAAAAAGAAATGAATTTCTTAGGTTGATTTTACATTTGTCATACGACAAATTTTTTAAATTGATTGGCTGCGGGATAATAATTTTTTGAATCTTTAGGAACTTTCTAATCTGCAGCTAATGTTTAAAAATTTTTTCGTACAATTTTTCGACAAATGTAATATCGGCCTTACGAGGTTATTATGATTCTGATCACAATGAATAACGGAATTTTACTAAATTTGAAAAAATTATTCGTAAAGAAAAAGATTATAACAACTCTAACAAAAAATGTTTAATCTCTGTCATTTAAATATTATATATAAAAAAAATTTAAGGAACATATCGAAATTAATATTTGCGCAAACAAGATGATTACGTATTTTTCAGCGGGATAAAGTTTGATAATTAAAAGTATTAAAATGATATTACATAATGTACATATATATATATATATATATATATATATATAGTATAAGATTACTTTATAATAATAAACATAATATACGAATATACACTGGAGAAAAATATTTTGTAAACTAGCATTGGTTTGTAAATAAATTCTATTAATTTTTTTATAAATAGAATTTTTATAGGCTTCTTTTATAAATAGATTATTTATAAAACTATTATGTGTGTATGTGTGTGTGTGTGTGTGTGTGTGTGTGTGTGTATATATATATATATAACAAATAAAGCGGAATTTACCTCGAGTAAAAATAATTAAATTAAACGTGATGATAATATATCATAATATCAACAACACAACATTAACTAATGGTTTCTAAATGTAAATATTATATGCATTCCAAAATTGAATAAAATAAGTATTCAAAGTGCATGCTTGTAATACATTTATAATTCATAATAAAATCAATAAAATCAATAAAATGAAATTAAAAGTAGACGTAAAATCAACTTTTTCGTATTCAAAAACTTCATAAAGTTATATAGTTTACAGATTAAAATAATTTTATTGAAATCTGATTAATTTAAAAGCACATTAGAAAAATACGAGTAATTAATTTTCTTTAATCGATTAACTCTAGTCATATAAAAACAGTGAAAAATTATGTTACTCACTTAGTTTACTTTCCAGCAGACTTCCGTGACACTGACTCTCAGTTCTGAAGATGAAATTCTTCGCGAGGTCTTCTATATAGCTTGTGAGTATATGTGGGGGTAAACCGTTCGGCCAATGACCACTCATCTTTACTACCATTTTCAATAAAATTATCCAATCGCGCCGAACCGGTTGGCAAAGATTCCGAAAGCTCGTTTATTTAAGGGCATTTTTCGTAATCACGCTGAGAAAAAAGAAACAAAACAATTTTACAAAAAAATAAATATACACATAGTCCAAAAACATTGTCTTGTGCTGCAGTAACTTTCAACAGATTTTATTTATGTACTTTGTTTATAATTCTGTCTTTGTAACAATTGTAATTGAGGGCTGTTGTTACATTTAGCAATTACGTATAATTACATATAATTTACACGTCTTCATTTCGGCATTTTAAAATTTGTATTCCTAAATAATTACTTTAATACTTGTTTTGTTCACAGCTAAAGCATATAAAACTGCAAAAAAAGTTTTAAGGTTTCTAATTCCTTATTAACATACGATATCAAATTATAACGTGAGAATTAATAATTAGTACAATTTACATACACAATGTATATTTTATAAGTTATACATAAATTTTAATCGAGTAAATTTTTTCCCTTTCTTTTTTCATATCTATCTTTTAATTGAAATATAAAGCGTTGTCGGATGTTTTCGTAGTTTCTTTTCAATGATAATATTCAAAAGATATTCATTACCTATTAATCAATCTTACTTCATGCAAATAAAAAAGCAATTTGCGAAATTCAACCTATTTAATTTAAATGTCATTAGTTGTTTTGTAAATGTTCATGTTAATCAGGTATTTAGAAAAGCAAGAAATTGCTAATATTTAAAATAATTAATATAATATTTATAATAATTTTATTATATTTTATTAAATTTTTATTATATTTGCATTTATATTCTTTGCCACATTCTTGCGTAGTTTTCTATTTCTGTTTTTACGCCTTTAGTATTATTTGTATTTTCTTCTCGTTTACGATTATATCGAGAACATAATTCAAGCGAATAGATATTATAAATCGTATCGATAGCGAATGGAAAAAGCATTGATAATTCATCGTAACTGTTTCAGTAGCGGGATGCTGCGTCGATTCTTCTTATTAGGAGGATCTCGCTAATCGCAGATCCCGCCTTGCGGCAGTTGAATACCGCTCCTCTTCCCCTCTTTGCACTTGTTGGCATAGTTCATCCTAGCAAGTTCAGTGAACGTATTACGAGTTGCGAATAGTCGCGAATAATTCCGAGCGTAACGGAATCGATGGACGACCTTCGTGGACGAAGTATCGCGCTATCGAACTCGATCGATTGCACTTATGCGATGATTATTCCAAAGAATGAGATTGCGTTTCAGATTCTAATTTTGATTAGTGTTATATATAAGTGTTAAAAACAATTTTTCAACATATATATAACATCTCTCACTTATCCGATTATTTAATATGCTTCGATTTATTTTCTCAAATATATTTATTATATATGTATATGTTTATTTATTTATTTATTATTTTCTTTATTTAATTTATTTATTATTTTCTTTATAAAACCAATTTTTTGCTACTACTAAAATGAAATATATCTAAATTATCATTGAAATATAAATTACATTATTATATTTTTCGTTATTCTATTGAAATAATTTATTCGTGTGAGACTGATATGTAATGATTGTCAACGTTGAAAGTGGCAAATGCTAGTCAACATTAATGAGTGAAGTCTCCTGCATTCGACATTAATATTGGTCAGCATTTGCTTGAGATTCGCGTCATTATGCACGAATGCATTATAAATGGAAGCGCATTATAAAAGCATGCTTGCGTGTCCACAACATGCTCTGTTTACATGCGGTGGGCTATCCTCATTTAGGCGAGTTTGTAGGCTAAGCATTATCTTCCGAAAATATGTCCGCCTTTGCGATTGAATGCGTTAGGCGATGTGTCACACGCAATCAATCACGACAAAACTTGAAAAATTAACGGCATTGTGTAATAATAATGATTCATTTTTTCTTGATTTCTAAAAATAATAAACTTTTCTAATTAAATGTCAACTTAAAAGTCTGCTAAAAATTATTTAAAATTAACTGCGAAGAATGTCATTTTATTATAAATTCGTGTCTCTCTCTCTCTCTCTCTCTCTCTCTTGCTCTTCCTTGAAATTCTGTTTTGAAAAATATTTTTTATTTCTTAACTAATCGCAAAGATTAATGGCGTCACAGTATCTTTTGTTTAAAGAAAATATTGACATTTATATTATTTAAAAGAAGAAAAGAAGAAAATTGTCTGCAAGTTTGATTCTATCGTATAATTTTTTTTGTCTCAATATTTTAATATTTTAATCATTACATATATTTAATGACTATTTATATTTCATATTATTTATATACATACACTTGTATGTCTATTTTAACTATTACTTTTAATTCAATTTTAAATATAAAATTGTTCACGGACAAAGGTCGAAAGAGTCTGCGTACAAATAATGATTTCATGCAAATATTTCTCGGTTTGTTTCGACGAAAAACAGTGAGTACAAGACTAGTCGCTACAGCTATTTGACACAGAAAATCTTAGTTATGTAGCGGGATCGTCACGTGGCGGGCGGATTTACATTCGTAAATGCATGCATACATGCTAACTGACACGACTTCCGACGATTGTATGCTAGTATACGATTAAATGTGAAAATGAGAAAAGGGACTATGTGCACAATTTTGAGATTTTGCTTGAAAAGAAAATAAGATTTTAAGTAATTATCTTTATGTAACGTATCTTTCTTACAGTTTAGAATTATATTAATCTTGTTCGATAACTTTTGGTCAATGTATGATCAATTTTATGTAAGGGAAAGGCGGATAGCCCCGGACACTTAAATAAAACGCATAATATATAATCAACAGATTTTAATTAAATTACTCTTTTGCAAAATAAACTTTGAACTTTTTTGATTTCTTATTAACAAAGAATAGAACATTTTTCTTAAACTATCTTAGAAAAAAAAATCAATAATTTATTACTGCTATTTTTGAGCAATCCAAAAATGGCGGGTAGCTAGACAGACATATATTTCAACAATTATCTATTCGTTCTTTGTTCTTACAAACGTCACAATAAAAATATATATTTAAAGGATCACATATATATATATATATATATATATATATATATATATATAATATTTGTTGATCATAGAAACGGTCTACTTGAGGTTTATTAAAACCAACTGTACGCATGATACTGGTTGATTCAGGAGTTCTTAGAACAAGTTTTAGGTATTTTTTCTTAAAGCTAGAAAAAGTCTTTTCCTGTCATTCCTTCTTTTTTATTAAAGCGGTGAGAGATTTTTAAATTCTCTGCCAAATCAAAAGCTAGTTTTAAAAATTCTAATCTAGTCAATGGCATGAGGCGATTGTCCAGATCTTTGACATGATTGTAAAGTTGCAATGAAAAATTTTCATTAAAAGTAGATTCAAATCGGCCTAATTTTGATTTAAAAATTACTTCTTGACCACTCTTTAATGTTTTTATTCGATCCTGCATTGTGCTATGTGGCACGTCAAATTTTTCAGCAGCTAATCTTATTGTTAACTTCTTTTCTATAACACATATAATTGCTTCTTTTAACTTCATTCCACTTGCCTCTATTGATAGTTCGTTCCTTAAATTTTGGCATTTTTATAATTGTATTTAAAATAAATACATTCATATTATTTAGTACATTAAAATAGTATAAACTGATAATTACAACAATAAAATGTATTATTTTTATAATTTAAAGTTAATAAATATGTTCGGAGGTACCCGCTATATTAGTGTCCGGAGATACCCGATTGACTTGATCTAATATATTTATTAATTAATTTGTGTAATGTAAAAAGAATTAATTAAATGTATAAGAATCTTAAATTATATTTAATTGTTAATATTAAAATCAATCAGACATGTAACAGCACTTACTTTTAATGAACAATTATTGCTTAAGCATTAACAAAATTTGATGGATTTTCATTTCTTAATCTTCGAGTAGTTCTTCAGATAGTGAGATGATAATAATAAAGAATTACAAAATATTTTATTCGAAAATAGAGGTGAAAGGAAAATAGTACCAAAAATAACAGATTATTTGGAAAATAGTTACCAGATATACAAATATTAAATTTAAATCACATTTTAGGTAAATTATGTCACATTATTATAATTATAGCATTATTAATATAAAACACACGTTCGTATTAATAATAATACATGTAATGTTATTAAACATATTATTATAAAATATATTTAACTACTTATTTATCTCTTTTAATATCTCAAGTAGCAAATTTTTTTAATCCTAGTGATCCCAGTGGGAGAAACGAAACGCAGCACTGGGAGTTTTCAATACTGCCAACTTGATCTTTTTTCCCAACACCAACCAAACATATTTTCGAACGCACTAATCATAAAAATGTGCTATGGCCGGTATTCATAGTCCGATCTTATATTTAAAATCGTCTTAAGCATGAACGTAAGAAATACTGGACAGAGTGTATTGCTGCGGGAGTGAAGCTCAAAGGGTGAGGGGAAAGAAATGTCTATTGCAACGGAATATGAGGCATGTAAGATGGCGACGGATATTAATTTCACGGAGTGTGATATTTTTGAATTTCTTAATATTCAAAAATGATTCGAAATAACACAGCGATTTCAGATGATAGATGATTTCACGGAATCTCTCATATTTTATTCGATTTACGTCCGTGCGACGTGAAAATAGACGCTAAATCTGATGCATCTAAGATGGCCGCGACAATAAACCCTTTACCCCTCAGATTTCACTCCCCTCGTCTAAGGCCGGCATTCATAGTCCGATCTTATATTTAAGATTGTCTTAAGTCTGGTCCGAGGTTGACTTAAGACCTCATTCAACCAATCAAACAGCTGCGTAGCATTTCAAGCTCGAACTTAAGACGATCTCAAATATAAGATCGGACTATGAATACCGGCCTATGAATACCGGCCTATGAATACCGGCCTATGTCCGACAAATAGGTTAAGTATATATCAAAATAAAATGTGACACTAGTTATAATTTTTAATCGTAGTTTAATTGTCCTTAATCGGTCAATTTTGGCCGTTTAAATTAAACTTGGTTTATGCAGTTTTAAACGTGTGCAAATGTTTGGTAGAAACCAATTTTTAAGTTAACCGGGCTTAATCCAATATTACTAGGGATCAATTTCTTAAATTACGTTGGTAGAAACGGGCCTTAAGCTGGTTCTACAATGAGTCGTAAGTCGTAAGTCGTAGGCAAATTGACCAATCATGGTTGATTATTTCAAAAATAATCAACCATGATTGATCAATTTGCCTACGACTTACGACTTGCGCTCCTTTGCGACGTTACGATACGACCAATGTAGGTTTGGCTTTAGGCTAGAAACAGCAGTATATATACTTTACAGGTATATATATGTACGATTGTTTCGTTTGTCGAAAGGTTAACTTGTCGTTTGCGCGTGACAAGCACTTTTAACTTGCTGGTCATATCGAGACGGAGAGTACGAAACGAATCGTAGGAATGGAGTGTTTAATTGGTATTCAATGTAAAGATTTCGTGCTGGTTGCAGCGGATATGACAACCGCACAATCCATTATAGTTATGAAAAGTGGTAAAATGTTATTTTTGCATATCCTGTTAGTGGCATATTAATTCGACATATTAATTTTACATATAATACGTATAGTTGATAATGCATTAATTTGTCATGTGTGCGTGTGTTATTAAATGCTGTATTAAATATTAACACATGACACGTACATACTGTATTGTATTGTGCAATATATTGTACGATGACAGAATATCACGATGATTATATCATTCTATGTATTATTATATGTTGAAGCATATAATAATAGAACATGTGTCATTTTCTCAAAGTTCTAATTACATTATATATTGTATCATTAAGTTCTGATGTTATATAGTTTAATTGTGAAACATAGAAATCAATTTTAAATGACATATAAAACATTTCAGATGAACAAAAGATTCATAAGATCTCTGACAAGCTTGTTATGGCAATATCTGGAGAATCTGGTGACACGACACAATTTTCAGAGTATATTGGAAAAAATATTCAGTTATATAAGATGCGTAATGGTTATGAACTTTGCCCCAAAGCTGCAGCTTGTTTTACAAGGAGAAATTTGGCTGATTATCTTAGAAGTAGAACCCCATATTTTGTCAATATGCTACTGGCTGGATATGACGATGACACAGGACCAGAGTTATATTTCATCGATTACTTAGCTTCCTGTGTAAAAGTTCCTTATGCAACTCATGGATATGGTGGCATGTTTTCCATGTCTGTCTTAGACAGATATTACAAATATGGTAAGATATGCATATATATATATATATATATATATATATATATATATATATATATATATAATAGAAATATAGTCATCTATAAATATAGTCATCTATAAATATAGTCATCTATAAATTAATGCTTATGGGATATTAATCAACATCATAGATTCTACCGAGGAAGAGGCATACACCTTATTGAAAAAGTGTGTTCGAGAAATTCAAAAAAGATTGATTGTCAATTTACCAAATTTCAAAGTTCAGAAGATATTTAAAAATGGAATTAAAGATATGCAGCCAATCACAGCTGAAAATTTGGCTATTGAAAGTGTTGCCAAAGCATAAAAAAAAAAGATGTTTCTTTCATACTTCTTTAATTATAGAAAGAACTCTTCTTTGTATTATAAGAATAAAGTGTCTATAAACATAATTTGTCAATTTTTTAATAACCTATAACTCTTCTTTTTATTATTTATAAAAATGAATTAAATATTTATATTGATTAAAATATTTTACTCACTATCTACAGACATATACATACATATGATAATGTGAAAAGAATTTTACTGTTGTGAAGAAAAATAAAAAAATGAATCCAATCTTAAGATGTGTAAGTGTAAAGTTGAAAATAATAAAATTAATTTTTATATAAAAAATTATACTAGTAAGAGTAATAAATTTGTGCCACAATAAAAATATTAGACTGCAGGATTATAAATCAGAAGTTTATTAATTAGAAAGTATATTATAAATTTTAAATAATACTTTTGTCTGTAATTGTGTTGGGATAAGAAAGTTGATAAGTATTATACATTTTATTCATTAAAGTTGCAATTTTTTTTTAAATTTCCTCAACTTGAAAAAATTATGTAATTTCAATTGATTTTATTTTTATGAATAGAAAATGTATATTCATTTTAATTCTAAATAAAATCGTGCAGTTCTCACTAATAAATAAGAACATTAAAACACATGAATATAATAAAATCTTATATTTCTTAATATTTGTATTTTATTATGTATTTAAATATAGGAAATAAATTTTTTTTTTCATATCCGTTTTATATTAATTCGTTTAATGTATTGCATAGAAAGAAGGTCAACTTTACAACAATACATTCACAATTTATGATTATCACTCACACATGGTAGTGATCAGAAAGAGAAATCCTGAAGAGAATTTACTCTTATAATAGAAACTTATATATAATTGGAACTTAATTCTGAACTAATTTTTAGAATGTAAAATACACTGTAAAAGAGAGATTTTCATATAGAAACTATTGTACACATTACTATGTACAAAATATAAATCAACAATTGGAAGTATTTTTATATTATTTTACACTATATGTGAAATAATGAAACTACAATTAATATTCAACATCTTCCCGATATGTTCCTTCCAGTATCATGGAACCATTTTCCACCGATACCATACATGAGTGATAAAAATTTCTCTTTAATGTTGCATGCAAATGAAACGGTTTCTTTAATTATCACAATCCTATTTCCTATCGTTGAACTTTTTTTTGGCGATTGAAACGATACCCGCGAGTGTTTACTACAGTGAGAATCGGAATTATATACCTTGCAGTTCATGTGCATGCAAGGCATAATTATAAGCTATAGTTTTCACAATGCGTGATTGTACGTCTTGAGCATGAACCATGATTAATCTTTCTTTACTTTTCTTTTTCTGTTCGAAGAATTTGGAAAATTATAGCGCGATAATGTCGCGAATACCTCATACTTTTCGTGTTATTAATTAACATATTATTTATCCTTTTTCGCTTCTATTTGCGTTTGTTCCGATTGTTGCGTTCCATTTATAGGTTGCGACGGATGATCTTCATACCTGAAGCAAATAAAAATTTCACATAAACATATACAAAAAATATAAGAAATAAATGTGATACATAAATTCATGTTAGAATTAAAAGATATTTACGAGAAAAGTGCCTTGAGATCTCCTTTGACTAATGCTAAGAGCAACGGCGTGCCTACACACGCGGGTACTAGATACAATAAAGCAGGTTGTGCGTGATTGAATAAGTGCATGATCATCATGGTGGCGAGTAATCCCATGAAGTATGCGAAGAACGTCGAATAGAAGTAAACATTTGTCTTCCTACTGAGACTATTATCAAACCGCAACAACAATGCGATAAAGATACCAGGTAATACAATGTCACCCAATCCCAGCATAGCAAAATTACCGGCGCTCAAGCCCTTTTCTAAAAGATCTTGTGGAAAGACGAGTTTAATGGGAACTTCAAAAGATTTCGCTACCGTCACCATTACATCTGTACCAAACACCCAAAAGGCGTCGTAAAATAAAAGACCACAGAGCAAAATGCATCCAGTCACAACATTGTTGAGGTGTAACAATTCAACTCCATTTATGGCAAATGCTATACCAAATAGGTTATTAGCTATCCAATGCTGAAAAAAAAAAATGGAAATGACATAAGATAAATATCAAAGACATTAATTCTAAATTTTGTTCATAAATTTTCTAAACTCCAAATTTAATGTTTTATTTTTTAAACTTACTTTTTTTAAAAGATACCAAGCACCCACGAGTGAACAGCATACAAGACAAACAATGTCATGTAGATTAAATTTATAGTTAATTATATGCTCTTCTTTATCATCTTTTCCTCTTGTAAATAAAATGTGATATTGCGTTTTTGGAATTGCAGCAGGTACCAATGATGAGATCAATGGACTATAATTTTGTAAATTTAGAATTTAATTAAATTTTTATACAATGGAACGTACTATAATAATTACAAGTTTTTAATCTGGACTATTATAAAATGTTCACAATCTTTTAAATTATTTTTCGAAAGTTTAAATTACCTGGTAAGATGACACAAAGCTAAAATGCCAAGGAAGAAAAAGTATCCAGCCAATATCAGGTTAACATACTCTTTTGCAAATACCTAAAAATTACTTCAATGCTTTACAATCATAAAACACGATAATTTCCTTACAAATATACAATTACCTTATACAATATATACAAGCCTATTAATGTAACACTGGAAATAAGAGGAAACATAGCAGCCTCTCTACGAGACATTGTATCAGGTTGTTCACCACTGGCTTTGTACTGTTGCTATAAAATATAATGCATCATGTAACAAATTAAGAATATAAATGAAAGAAAATTATAACATTCATCGATATATCGTATTGCTTTATATAACTACATTACATCTATCGTAATTAATCGCCGCCCAATCAGACTATTAATTTTAACAGATATCATTAAGAAATAAATTATTACGGTTTGAAATAAGAGATAATAAATTATTATAAAATGATGAAAAATCCTTTCGTAAATTCTTCCGATACTGTCGACAAAGAGAGAAATAACGGAAACATCTTGTAAAAAACGAAAGTGTCAAACATATGTCAAAGTACGTGGCTAACCTGCTGTTCTTTATGATGTTTGACGGCACGATAGCTACCGAAAAAAATCGGTAAAATGGCCATAATAATGAGACTACCGTAAGCAATAGCCATTCCTTCGGGTGTCGACGGCACTCTTGCGGTTGTTGCATTCTGATATTCCGTAAGATTTTCCTTCACTTGAGCCACGATCTCATTCACCGTACTTGCCATTTTGAAAACGTTGACACCATTGACTCTGCATCAAAATCATAATGAACTTTCAAGAGTGGGGGACTCAATGGGCGCGTTCGAGAGCGTTCTGTTTGACCACATTGGCCACATTCATCGGACTCAACAGTTGGGCAACTACTAGATTTTCCGATGAAACTCGACGCTGATTGGACGGACTTGAAAGAAGAGACCAATCATATTCGATTGCTACTTAGAAGTTGAGTTCGCCGAATGCGGCCATTAGCCGCATTCAGCGGAATCAACAGTTGGGCAACATTACTAGATTTTCCGAAGCAATTCGATGCTAATTGGTCGGATCTAAAAGCAGAAACCAATCATGTTCGATTGTTACTTAGCTGTTGAGTCCGCTGAATGCAGCTATTAACATTGGCCTTCAATTGGCATTCAATAGACTGCGCACACGCGGGAGTCTTTGCACATGCGCCACCTTCTGTGCACGCACGGGACTCCTCGCGCATGCGACAATTTCTGAGAAACTTAAAGGTCTCCCGAAGACCTTAATAAGGCGAAAACCTTATTAAGGTTTTCCCGGGAAACGTAATAAGGCGAAAACCTTATTAAGGTTCTCCCGGGACCTGTAATAAGGGGAAAACCTTATTAAGGTTCTCCCGGAACCCGTGATAAGGCGAAAACTTTATTAAGGTTCTCCCGGGACCCGTAATAAGGCGAAAACTTATTAAGGTTCTCCCGAGACCTCTAATAAGGCGAAAACCTTATTAAGGTTCTCCCGGGATCCGTAATAAAGCGAAAACCTTATTAAGGTTCTCTCGGGACCCGTAATAAGGCGAAAACCTTATCAAGGTTCTTCCGAGACCCTTAATAAGGCGAAAACCTTATTAAGGTTCTCCCGAAACCCGTAATAAGGCGAAAACTTTATTAAGGTTCTCCCGAGACCCGTGATAAGGCGAAAACTTTATTAAGGTTCTCCCGAGACCCGTAATAAGGCGAAAAAGTTATTAAGGTTCTTCCGTGATCGCTAATAACGCGAAAACATTATTAACGTTCTCCCGTTATTGCCAATAACGCAATAACGATATTAACGTTCTCCCGTGATCGCTAATAACGCGAAAACGTTATTAACATTCTCCCGTGATCGCTATTAACGCGAAAACGTTATTAAGGTTCTCCCATGATCGATAACAACTCGAAAACGTTATTAACGTTCTCTCTTGATCGCTAATAACGCCAAAACGTTATTAAGGTTCTCCCGTGATCGCTAGTAGCGCGAAAACGTTATTAACTTTCTCCCATGATCGCTGAAAACGCGGAAACTTTATTAACGTTCTCCCGTGATCGCCAGTAACGCGAAAACGTTATTAACGAACTCCCGTGATCACTAATAACGCGAAAACGTTATTAGCGTTTTCCCGTGATCGCTGATAACGCGAAAACGTTATTAACGTTCTCCCGTGATCGCTAATAACGCGAAAACGTTACTAACGTTCTCCCGTGATCGCTAATAACGCGAAAACGTTATTAACGTTCTCCCGTGATCCCTAATAACGCGAAAACGTTATTAACGTTCTCCCGTGATCGCTAATAAAGCGAAAACGTTATTATGATTCTCCCGTGATCGCTAATAACGCGAAAACGTTATTAAAGTTCTCCCGTGATCCCTAATAACGCGAAAACGTTATTAACGTTCTCCCTTGATCGCTAATAACGCGAAAACGTTATTAAGGTTCTCCCGTGATCGCTAATAACGCGAAAACGTTATTAACGTTCTCCCGTGATCGCTAATAACGCGAAAACGTTATTAACGTTCTCCCGTGATCGCTAATAAATCGAAAATGTTATTAAGATTCTCCCGTGATCGCTAATAACGCGAAAACGTTATTAAGGTTCTCCCGTGATCCCTAATAACGCGAAAACGTTATTAACGTTCAAACATGTTCGCTAATAACGCGAAAACGTTATTAAGGTTCTCCCGCGATCGCCAATAACGCGAAAACGTTATTAACGTCCTCCCGTGATCGCTAATAACGCGGAAACGTTATTAACGTTCTCCAGTGATCGCTAATAACGCGAAAACGTTATTAAGGTTCTCCTGCGTTCGCCAATAACGCGAAAACGTTATTAACGTCCTCCCGTGACCGCTAATAACGCGGAAACGATATTAACGTTCTCCCGTGATCGCTAATAACGCGAAAACGTTATTAATGTTCTCCCATGATCACTGAAAACGCGGAAACTTTATTAACGTTCTCCCGTGATCGCCAATAATGCGAAAACGTTATTAACGTCACCCGTGATCGCTAATAACGCGAAAACATTATTAAGATTCTTCCGTGATCGCTAATAACGCGAAAACGTTATTAAGGTTCTCCCGTGATCGCTAATATCGCGAAAACATTATTAAGGTTCTCCCGTGATCGCTAATAAGGCGAAAACGTTATTAAGATTCTCCCGTGATCGCCAGTAACGCGAAAACGTTATTAACGAACTCCCGTGATCACTAATAACGCGAAAACGTTATTAATGTTCTCCCGTGATCGCTAGTAGCGCGAAAACATTATTAACGTTTTCCCGTGATCGCTGATAACGCGAAAACGTTATTAACGTTCTCCCGTGATCGCTAATAACGCGAAAACGTTACTAACGTTCTCCCGTGATCGCTAATAACGCGAAAACGTTATTAACGTTCTCCCGTGATCGCTAATAACGCGAAAACGTTATTAACGTTCTCCCGTGATCGCTAATAACGCGAAAACGTTATTAAAGTTCTCCCGTGATCCCTAATAACGCGAAAACGTTATTAACGTTCAAACATGTTCGCTAATAACGCGAAAACGTTATTAAGGTTCTCCCGCGATCGCCAATAACGCGAAAACGTTATTAACGTCCTCCCGTGATCGCTAATAACGCGGAAACGTTATTAACGTTCTCCCGTGATCGCTAATAACGCGAAAACATTATTAACGTTCTCCCGTGATCGCTAATAACGCGAAAACGTTATTAACGTTCTCCTGTGATCGCTAATAACGCGAAAACGTCATTAACGTTCTCCCGCGATCGCTAATAACGCGAAAACCTTATTAAGGTTGTCCCGTGATCGCTAATAACGCGAAAACGTTATTATCGTTCTCCCGTGGTCGTTAATAACGAGAAAACGTTATTAATGTTCTCCCGTGATCGCTAATAACGCGAAAACGTTATTAACTTTCTCCCGTGATCGCTAATAACGCGAAAACGTTATTAAGGTTCTCACGTGACCGCTAATAACGCGAAAACTTTATTAAGGTTCTCGCGTGATCGCTAATAACGCGAAAACGTTATTAACGTTCTCCTGTGATCGCTAATGACGCGAAAACGTTATTAACGTTCTCCCGTGATCGATAATAAAGCGAAAACGTTATTAAGGTTCTCTCGTGATCGCTAAAAACGTGAAAACGTTATTAAGGTTGTCCCGTGGTCGCTAATAACGCGAAAACGTTATAAAGATTCTCCCGTGATCGTTAATAACGCGGAAACGTTATTAACGTTCTCCCGTGATTGCTAATAACGCGAAAACGTTATTAAAGTTCTCCCGTGATCGCTAATATTGCGAAAACGTTATTAAAGTACTCCTGTGATCGCCAATAACGCGAAAACGTTATTAACGTTCTCCCGTGATGGCTAATAGCGCGAAAACGTTATTAAGGTTCTCCCGTGATCGTTAATACGCGAAAACATTATTAAGGTTCTTCCGTGATCGCCAATAACGCGAAAACGTTATTAACGTTCTCCCGTGATCGCTGATAACGCGAATATGTTATTAATGTTCTCCCGTGATCGCTAATAACGCGAAAACGTTATTAAGGTTCTCCTGTGATCGTTAATAACGCGAACTTCGGGTCCTTACCCTTT